AAGTAAAATATAGAAATTTGTTTTGTGTAATGTTTTTATCCAATCAAATATTAACATGTGACTAAAAAATATAGCCTATCACATTTGCTGACTAATCTAATCTTAAAATCAGATATAGTGCAAAAAAGATGAATTCACTTAACATGCATTTTAATTTTTTATTTACATACTATCATACTGTTTGCCAGTATCTGGTGTACTAACTCCTCTTTGCGAACCTGCACAACACATATATATGTATTTACAAACAGCTGAAAATTATTCATGTGAATTTTTGTGCTAATAAAATCTATCTCCAACTTGATTTAATCATAAAATCTGATCTTAATCTATCATTTACTAAATAGTTGGTAATGCAAAGATCTTAAAAGGAAAAACAAGAAAAAATAATGTATTAGGTAAGAAAAATGATACAGAAAGCGTACAATATATTCCAATATAGTATAAATCATTGCTTGTATTATATTAATGCATCAATATTTTTGATACAGTTGGCACTATGAATGTATAAAAAATAAATTTATTTGATATAAAAAGGAATAGACAATTTTTAAAAAAAGAAAAAAATTTATGAAGTTGAACAATTTATATAATTAATTAAAACCAATATTGTATATAAAATGTTTACTCCAAATATAAAACTTCCAAGCATTTTAACATTAAATATTAATAATAAGCACAGTTAACTGAAGTATCTTTAAATAATTCAAGATCTTTTTTTTTGTTTTACACTTAGTTGCATACTTTATTAAGACCAAAGCCATTATTTAATATATAAAATTTTTTGAAGAAACATTATCAAAACATAAATATAGACAGGCAACCTCATCGTCTGTCAGATTTTATTATTGTGTTTGATGAAAAGACAAATAAAAGTAATAAGTTTTGTATCTGCAAAGAATGTGTATCAGGTCATCATTTGATAAAGCAGAAAGGTTTGCAAATACACAAGAACTTGTCTGCTATTATTTAAAAAATTACACATATTTTTAACAAAAGTATAATGAGTCTGAAAGAGCAGAAATTCTGGCAAAGTCAAATAAATCTGGTCCAGCAACTAACTGTAAACATAATTTAATTGAATATATTTGTATTGACACAATAAATATTTTTTTTATTTATATATTGTAATTTAGCTTTTCAGAGAATTCAGTAAGTTCCTCCTTAGATAACCATACAACTAACATTCAATTAGATAATTCACTTCAAAATAAACGAAATAAAATTGATTAATATTGTTTAGACCTTTAGATAAAAATCAACAAACGCAGTTTGAGTATCTTTTACTTCAGGCAACTATTTCATGTAGTTTTGCATTTTCTTGAATAGGAATTTTTAAAATAAAAAAGTATTTGAATTTCTTTATTTATTAATTAAACTACCTTTACGGCAAGATCTTGGTGGCCAAATTTTAGAAAAATCAGCATATAAAATTACAAAATCTGTTAAGAAAATAGCTCAACAAGATAAAAGTGGTGTTATATTAGCATATGATGGCTGGAAAAACATTAAAAAAAATCAATTTTTAGAAGCATTTAATAACCTCAACAGGCAAAATTTTAATTTGGAGTGCAAAAGATATATATATCAAAGGAATATACAAAATAGTCTGATATATAATATCAAACAGAAAATATTTTTAATGATTTAAAAAAAGAAGGAATTAAGGTTAATGCTATTGTAACAGATTGTGCTTCAGAATATAAAGCTGCCAGATAATATAATAATAAAATCTTTATTACAGCTAAAGCTAGTAATCTCAATTTGAAAATATAAATTCTACCAAAATCTACTTATTATTAAAATTAGCCCCTAAATTCTAAATTATATAAAAAAAAGTTAAAAAAAATGATTTCAAAAAAGTTAGAAAATTTCATATTAAAGTATTTTAAAATTTCTAGCTTCAGCTGTTTCCAACTTCAACTATAACAATCTTTATAATACATTAAATTTTTTTACTTATCTTTTAATTTAATTAAGAAAATGTTTACAACAAACACATAAAGAAACTGTATTTATTCCATGTTTTGCTCATCAAATAAATCTTTGTGTTAAAGACATTTTTAAACATTCAAATTTATATACTATTATTACTGAACAAGCAATTCGTCTTGTATGTTTTTTTCAAAGATCATCTTTTTTTTTAGAGTATCTTCGCTCAGAACAAGTAGCATCATATAGCTCTTATGTTTCTTTTGTATCTTCAAATTATACTCGATAGAATAGTCATTACTTATATTTTGCCAATATTATTAAAGCCCATGCTTCTCTTAAAAATTTGACTACAAGAATTGAAAAGGATAATAATGAAAGTTTTAAAGATTTTCCTGAAGATATTCTTTTTAATATTTCAGATAATGAGTAGTGAAAAAAACTTATACAACTAAAAGTTCTTCTTGAACCTTATATAGCATCATTAAATAAATTTCAACAAGACAAAGGTTATCTCACTGATATTTTACACAGTTTCAGATAGGTATATCAAGTAATTAAGGGTATTTCTGATTAGGAACTTAATAGAGATGCCTCTTGATGAGCTCTACAACTTTTGTTACAAGTCCAAGTATGATTTACTTAGTAAGAAAAAAGTTTTAGATAGGCGCACTTCACATTTGAGCTTATAGTAAAATTTATATATAAAAAAAAATTTTTGTTTAGATGACTTATGATTTGCCTATTAAAGATTTTTAATGTTAAAGCTAGAAAAATGATGGTCAGCTTGGAAACAAGCATTGTTACTTTTATCTTTTTTATTATATCCAGCTTATTATAGTTCCTACTTTAATCAAAACTTCAATAGTCTTTCTATTGTATATATAGGAAATTGGATTAGATATTATTATTGTGCCTAGTTTAATAAAACTCTACAGTCCATTTTGAGTGAATTACAATGTTATGAAAATAAAGAGTATCTATTAGACAAAGAAACTTATGTTCAATTTGATAATAACATATTGTAATATTGGAATTTCTGTAAAGGAGTTGCTGTAGAATTGCATCTTATAGCAATTTGTATTTTCTCAATTTGTATAACAACAGCTTCAGTAAAATATTTGTTTTTTGCTATGAGATAGTATTATTCAGCATGGCATAATTGACTTAAGACAAATATATTATTTGCTTTTTTTTTTTTTTTTTTTTTTTTTATTTATATTACATTTTCTGTTTTTCTAAATTTTATATTTATAATTTTATAGTCTGAAAAAGTTCTTGCTATGTGCCAAATAAGGTCTGAACTTATACATTCATGAAACATTATAGCTATTAACAAGTCATTAAGAACATATAACTAAAATATTACAATTCCATTTGAAGAAATAAACCTTATCGAAGATATGAATGAGAAAAATTTATTAGATAATATTGAGTTAGAAGATGAAGTTCAGATAGATAAAACAGTTAACTCTGTGGATAACTGAAAGACGATTGTAAAACAATGTATGAACTTTTCTGAAGAAGAGAAAAATGAATATATGAAAGATGATTCAGATAATTTAAGCAAATCAGAAGTTATGACTGATTTATATGAAGAAACATTTTAAGATTATACTATTTATCCTGCAGTTAATTTGGCAATAAAATAGAAATTAGCAGATATTCTTATAGATTCGTTAGTATGACCTGCTTATATCAATTTGCTTTTGGGTAATTAAAAATTAATCATCAATACTTTTATTATATAAATATATATATATTTTTTTTTTAATGTTAAAGTGACCACTTTGGGGTCTGGCATGTTTTATTAAACTTTGGATCGAATGCTAGAGTAACTATATGGGCTACCTCTGACTTTGTTATATTAACGAGAATACATTCTAGCTATATATACAACTTTTGGTTGTCTATTTAAGCAGTCTTGTATATGTAACCCATATGAATTACATTAGATGCTATACCTGTAACCCACTATTACTTGAGTTACCCAATTAAGCCCTCTGATCAACTTAGCACTGTCAGGATATTCTTCTCAAAGAGGAACTGCTGTGTAAGCCCCTTAGGACTTTAAAGCAGACACACACTACCATATAGGGGGATCCTTTATTCTTGTAATAACTCTACCAAAGCGGTTCATGTCTTACACATGTATCATCTAGATTTTTGGTAACTTATATCTAGACCACAGCCAAGTACTTGCGGCCTTTTACCTCCGCTATCATTACTACTTTGTGCCCTTGCAAATTTCACCCAAACTCTAGCACCCACTTTATGAACTATTAACAGTACTTCGATGCCAACTGTTGGTGTCCTAAACTTCCAATCCAGATGGCTCGAGAGGGATCAGTGGGCATCCCCTAGTATTTCGAATGAATACTTTTTCCTTTGGTTAATTTGGCGGCCTGGTTGGTATAATGCTTGCCAAACACTCGGACCTCATTTAGTTTGCCTTCGGTGTCTGGTTCTCCAGAAAATAATTCTTTATGAAACACTATTAAAGATCTGTGCTACCTCTCTACCCGGGACTTCCCAAGCAGGCTTCCGTATCCTTCGATCTCTTGAATTTATTTGGCTGCTTCACTCAGGTTTTGTATAACTTATATGTTATACTACATTTCACAGCCTCCCAATATGAGTTGGTAAGACCAAGGTTATAGGTGCTAACCTGATCAATATGTTATACAGTTTTACTATAATGCATTTTCACAAATTCGAATTTCGTTATTGGTGAGATTTGAACTCTTGTCCTGCCATTTGGGGTACGACAACTTACCAACTACACTAAGTCGCCACACCCTTTTTATTATATAAATATAAAGGGCAACAAAAGCTCTAATTATATAAATAACTTATAGTTGCTTTTTAAACGATACAGTATTAATAAAGTTGATTACTTAAAATTCTTAAAGTTATTCATTTATATAATTATCATTGCAATAATAAATTTGAAATTAAATTATTATAATGTTCATTATCTTATATAAAAGTTTAATTTATATAGCAGCATTGGCAATTTTAAATATATGTAAAGAGTTAATTTTGTAGTGAGACTGGGTAAAAATAAATGTGATTCTTAAATTCTAAAAAATGATAATTGATTGTTTGATCAATTTAATTTGTTCAAGAATTACTCAAATTATTTATTTATTTTTTTTTTATAACCTTCACAATATCACGTAAAGGCAGATTTTTATTAGGTATTTTAGATAATATATTATTGATTAACAAGAATATATTCTAGCCATATCTGCGCATTTTGAGTATCTAATTAAGTAGCTACCTATTACTAGAGTCTATACTAGATGCTATATCTGTAACCCACTATTATTTGAATTACCCATTTAAACTCTCTGATGTCTCTTATCCTGTACCATCTACCACAATTACGCTAGCACATAACCTCATGCTGCTTCTTATTGAAGACCACTCAGATCGACATCTGCTATACTACTTGTGCTCTAATTCTATAAATAAACCTCAGTAAGGTTCTTATATTACTGGGTTGTCCTAAAGAGAATGTAGTATATACCCTCTAATCTTTCTATATCCCACGCACTTTCAGATTAGGCTACAAATACCTTCTGCAGCAGCTAAAACCACCACTAACAGTCAGGATGAACTATTAAACTGCACAATTTCAGTATTCGATGCACTTGCAAGGTTCGTTTCAATCCCAATACTCACATCAAACCGGCCCTTATACTGATTCCTTCCCAACTATCAAACCAGTTAGCCCGGACGGGTTGTTATATCTAGGCTTTAAATGTCTTTCAGTTTTACTTTCCTTGGTTCCTAATTCTGTAGCATAAGACCTTTTCCTTCAGTGCAACTCTGGCGGGCAGGTTGGTAAACCCTTCTTGCCCCAGGGTTTTTGTTTGGTTCTTCGGTCTCTGGTTTTTGGCTTTTCTACAGTATCATTAAAGATCTTCACTACCTCTTTACTTGGGTCTTACCAAATGGGTTTTAATTATTCCGGTTCCTTGGATTTAGATCGCTCAAGAGCTTTTATTTCAAGATAGTAGTACTAAGATTACAAATAATATACCTAACCGATCGTCGAATAATTATTACCGATATACAGGCCTATTTTTTTAAAAAATGTCTCTGGTGGGATTTGAACTCTAGACCTGCTGCTTGGGGGTGACAACTTAACTACTACTCTAAGTCGCTACACCCTAATTACTTAAATTATTGAATCATAATTAGATATATTTTATTTTATTTTTTTTTTTAATATTAATGGTGAGGCCATTAGATATATTTTATATTTGGATTAGCAAAGGAAAGTTTATACACAAATTTTATTAATATATGCAACATTTGTATAATATATTTTGACTTGCAGGTTAATAAATAAGTTGACAAGAATAAATCTATTTTTAATCAATCAAATTCATAATAATTGTTACACAAATCACATGTTATTATTTAGACTAAGTGCTTATGTCCAATCAAAAAATATGAACAATATGGACTATGTCCATATTTGTTTATATTCAATAGTCCATATTGTCCATATCCATATCTTAACAATACTGATTCTATATATTACAGATTTATTTAGTCAAAATTAATAGATACGAATATCCAAATTCAATCTGAATTATCAGAGCTATATGAATTAGTCAAATTATAGATCAAAACACTACTTAGAAAGAGCAAAATAATTTGTAACTTCTTTATTATTTTGGTTAATGAAAAAACAGATTTAATGAACTCTTTACAGTAAGTATGTATTTTATTTCGATTAGTTACAGAAACTAATTTGAATGTTGATAGACTTAACTTGTTTAAATAAATAGTATTACTTCTGAAATTTTGCATACATAGTACGTAAAGTTTCTTCAACTTGATTTCGCTTATTAGTTGATTATTATCTTGGTTGATGAAAAAATGAACCCTTTACAGTAAGTATGCATTTTATTTCGATTAGTTACAGAAACTAATTTGGATATCAATAGACTAACTTGTTTAGATAAATAGTACTGCTCCTTAAATTCTGCATATATAGCATGTAAAGTTTCTTCAAATTGATTTTGCTCATTAGTGATAAAGTATGTAATCTTCTGCATCTTGGTCCAATTGAGTTTTTCTATATGAATTTGAAAAAAATTTATTAAATAAAATTTATGAAATTGTTATTTATTAATCAATCAAAAAAATTTTACTTAAAATCAGAAATTGTTGTTTTTGTACACTATAGAATCAAGCTCAGGAAGAGCAAAATTTTTTGTAACTTCTTTATTATCTTGATTGATAAAAAAACAGATTTAATGAACCCTTTACAGTAAGTATTTATTTTATTTTGATTAGTTACAGAAACTAATTTGAATGTCAATGAACTAACTTGTTTAAATAAATAGTACCACTTTTGAAATTCTGTATACATAGCACATAAAGTTTCTTCAACTTGATTTCACTCATCAGTCAATTATTATCTTGGTTGATGAAAAAATGAACTCTTTACAGTAAGTATATATTTTATTTTGATTAGTTACAGAAACTAATTTGGATGTCAATAGACTAACTTGTTTAAATAAATAGTACTGATCTTTAAATTCTACATACATAGCATGTAAAGTTTCTTCAATTGATTTTGCTCATTAGTCGATAAAACATGTAATCTTTTGCATTTTAGTCCAATTGAGTTTGTTTTTTTTTTTGAATCTTAAGGTAAGGCTATGCCTCTAACTTTATTAAAACTCAATTAAATCTCTTTACAAGCAAATTTACAAGAAAAAAATTATATATGACTTTTATATCCTAAGGATGTCAAGAATAGAAACTCAGACAAAATTTTTTGCGGCCTAAACCTATCTGATTGAGTTTTTAACTATGTGAATTTGAAAAAATTTATTAAAAAAAATTTATAAAATTGTTATTTATTAATCAATCAAAAAAATTATCACTATCAAACCTTATAGTTAAATTTTAATTTGACTGATGCTCGATGATTGACTGAGTTTAAAACTTAATAAATGAAGATTATTTCGATGTTCGAAATTTTCGATTGATGCTTAAATAATTATTTACTGCAGGGACCTATAGAATCTGTGATAATTTAACAAATTATATTTTCGATATCAGTAAATTTGCTAATTAACAATAAAAGCACAAATTCATATAAAATTTAAGAATTTATCTAATAAAAAACTTGCATTTTTTTGAAAAAAAGGTTGCACTAAAACAAAATTTTGGTTTTTAGATACTCATATATAGCTCATAGTATTTATTTCTTTGAACTATTGAAATATAACCCTTTAATGATTTACTGATCTAGGCAAATTTGATTGCAAAAAATTATCTAATAATTGTATATTTTTAACTTTGCAAAATTTATAAATATTAATTATATCATCAAATCATAGTTGTTATTTAGTCAGATCAGATATTCTAGCTCTTGAAAATTTAAATCCAGATAAATATTTAAACCTAACAAGTTAAGTATCACATCTGGTAACTGCTTTGATATAGATTTATATGACTTTTACAGGGGTTATTTCTGCTATCCAAAGGTGATAATAAAAACAAAAAATTAATAAAATTAAATAAAAATGATATTGGCTAAAAGCTTTTTGCAAATAGTTTTCCTAATATGTAATAAGAA